AACTTTGGACAAATTCCTTCACACTTGAGTCCCTATTTGAAAAACGGGCTTTAGGCCCATTAAGTGGGAAGGTCCCTTCTGGCTCATGTGCCATCACTGTGAATGGATCTCACAGGTGGCTCATGAGGAGAGAAGCTGGGCTCTGAGTTGGACAGCATCGCCCAGACATAACTCATCCCACTGGTTAGAAGTTTCTGGATCTACCCTCTGCATTTCTAACTGCATTACTGAGGAGTTATAAGCAGATCTAGGTTGCTTATTTCTGAAATATGCTACCTTTCCCTCAGGGTTTTCTCAGTTTGCCCAAGTAAAGGCATTTCTGGATGGCCATGGTGACATGTGAGTTTTAAATTCTTTTTTTCACCTTTTAGTTCAATTCTTACCAATATTGCTTTCAGCATAACCATGATGCTCAGGCTGAAATTCTGGTGTCAATGGTGGGAACAGCGTATTTGTGCTAGTGATGAGAGCTTACAGAGTAATTGCTGGGGTTCTGCTTGCCCATGTTATTCCACCAAACTGGTAAAATCCTCCTGATTAGTTTATGGCTTACTGTGCAGGAGTAAACTTCCAACCCCCTCTATGAAATAATTATTATTTTAATCTGTCTGTTCATAAAAGAAAATGCCAGTGTGAATCCTTTTATGGCCATAAAGAGTGGGACTCTTTATGCATTCACAGCCCCAGAATGGAAATAAACACAGCTACTGCAAACTGAAAAACAGAGGAAGGATAAGAGGGACTTCCCCGGCTCTCTCACCTGCAGGAGAATGACTCACCTGCACAGGTCACGGTATGCCTATCATGTGTTTGGAAGGGTTTGCATTGAGGACATGCTTTTCAAATGTGTGTTACTGAGGCATCCAAATGCATTCATGGATGCTGTGGGCAAGGGAGGCATAGCTGCTGATATTCTGTGCCAAGCACCACGTGAGCGCCTTCTGTTTACAATGGTATGCAACACCCAGTGACCCTAAGAGGAAGGCATTTCACTAAACCCATTTGACAGACAAATGAAGGAAAAGAGACTACTGAGTACCTTGCTCAAGGTCACATGGCTAGTTATAAGCCAGAGCCAGCGTCTGGGTCCAGACAACCCAAATGCTATGTTGCTAATGGGCTACATTTCCTCCCACCCAGAGAAGGCGAACCCTTCGAATATAGAGGGCATCATGTCATCTTTTTGTGTTTCTAGATCTGTTGCTGTGACCCTGGGCCTGTTCACCAGTAATGATTTAACAGGCAACAGAGAGAGGTTCAAGAATCCAAATTTCATTCCTTTGCCAACGTAGGGAGCTGCCCCTGTGTGGAACTACAGTATTGTGAATGCATTGCAGGAAACAGAAGGCAAAAATGAGCTAGGGAGATGGGGATGGACCTATAATAGTTCATTGATTTAGATGACAAACACTCATTGAGCACCTTGTATGAGCCAGCCCACAGGCCTGCAGAGGACCCAGGACAAAGCACAGGGCGTGCAGTGGGTGGGGGTATCAGAGCAGAAACAAAGTGACTTTGGCTGCTTGACCGACACAGAAATGCCGAGTCACTGAATCTTCCCTGAAGTCAAAGGAAGTCCTTGGGGAGGAGTCACGGAAAAGCAGCAGAGTGGAGTGGAAATCTAGAACCTTGAGAATAAAGACAGATGAAGGCTCTGAACCACGCATGTGGTCCGCAGAACTCACACGGAGGACAGGGAGGGTGCAGCTCTCTCAGGCGGGTCCCAACAGAGGCGGCGCAGGGTGTCCAGGGAGAGGCTGTGCAAACAACCTGCACAAAGGCGCTTCCTTGCCACCCAGCGCACACAGAGCCCAGCACCTCGCCCGGCGTGCGCTACTCCTCACGTGCCCCCAACTCGCGGTGCGATTCTTTCCCACCATTCAGCGCCTCTCCTCTCCCACGTGACCTCCCAGAGGGCAGAGGCACATGGACTGACTTCTCCACGCCCAACGTTCAGGACTGGGCCCAGCAGTTGGTGCTTTCCCAGCTACAGACCCCAGATAGACACGCTCGGGACTGGAAAGTAGACATGAGGCTCGCTCTTTAGGAAAGTCTGGATGAAAGCCTGAAAGCAGTGGTGGAGAGGAGCTGATAGCTGAGCTGGCGGGGCCCCTCGGCTGTCCCAGGGCAGGTGCCCCGTGGTGACATCTCCGTCTCTACGTGAGGACACAGGCGGTGATGGGAGTCCACTTCTAAAGATTAAAGAATGTGGACCAATGTCCAGGCAACCTGGACTTGGGAAACATCGTATTCACTGATGCAGATCTGCGCTGTGTACAAGTGGCAAACTTTCTACATTCTACGTACTGTCCGTGACCATATTCAAACACTCACAACAGAAGACACCCACTGTCCTTCGCAGAGGCAAGTCCACATGCCCAGGCAGCACCCTAGCTAGATTCTGCAGGGGATGAAAGGTTGCCATGGGATGAAACCGCCAAGTAGCAAAGCCTTCCAGGATGCTGCCTCACATTTTCCCTGTTAAAAACACCAAGAGATGTCCTGGTAATGAGACTTTCCTGGTGCTGATGGTGGAGAAAGAGCACTGAAGTAGCAGAGGGAAGAAAAGCTATGCTGTGATAACCGCATGTGCTGTGCTGTGCAAGTGATGTGTGTTTTCACCAACTCTTTGAGACAGTAATGGGCAAGAGCTGCATGGATCCCAAACCTGGAGGAGTGGAGCCCTCTTGGCCCAAGGTCCTGCAATAGGCATGGAACTTGCATTTTGAGGCCACCCCCACGCTGTGCTCTTCCCTCTCGTCAATGCCCTCCTGAGCGCCTGACCCAAGCTCAGCGGTGTTGGGCCAGGGGCAAGGCCGCAGGCCCGATGGGGGCACAGGAGGGGAGCCCAGGGAGAAGGCCTTGGAGAGTGTTATCTGAGAGGTTAGTGCCAAGGGCAGGTAATTAGGCAACTGCAATGTAAGGCGGAGCAAGAACACAGTCCCGAGAACAGCCGGTGTGGGTGAAAATGCAGACACCCTGGCACCCGCACAGGCCCACGCCTGGCTAGCGCCAACACTAGCTGACTTGGAAGCACAAGTCTGTCCCTCTCTTGTATAAACCAAGAGCCACAGTGCTGAGGGGACGAGATGTGCATGAGCACAAAGGAGATGTCCATCTGTTCAGGGCAGACAGGGAATAAGGCATGTTTATCAAACAGGACTGCTCTCGGGGCTTCTTGCCTTCTGCATGGGGTTCACATGTCCCTGGGAAAGGACAGCGAGAGCAGACCTTGGGCCCCCGCAGGCACAGCTGCTGTTTTCAGGAATAGACAAGTCTGAAAAGAGAGTGTGCCGCACGGCCAGGGCATCTGCCGCAGAGCCAGGCAGGCCCCCCTCCCCAGCGGGAGGCCGCAATCCCGTCCTGTGGCCACGCTGCCGGGGGCAGCCTGCACGTGCCAGCATGCTGTGTGTGCAGTCCTGTGACATGTGTGCTGGGAATCACTGTAGAGAAGAGGGCAAAAGTCCAAACCTCAGGGAAAATGAGCCAGTAAGTGCCCATGGGGGTGAGGGGAACATCTCCCCTCACAGCATCCTGCACCCACTGAAAACCCTCCTCCTAGTCACCACTGCCTGGCAACTGGGCTGCTCCCTTTTATTTTTTAAGTATTGTGTTTAAGATAATCTTTTTCTTTTTGAGACGGGGTTTCGCTACGTTGGCCAGGCTGGACTTAAACTCCTAGGTTCAAGAGATCCTCTCCACTCAGCCTTCAAAGTAGCTGGGATTACAGGCAGAGCCACTATGCCTTGCTAAAATCATTTTTAAATTAAGAGATATTAAGGTGGCTGCACGCGGTGGCTGACACCTGTAATCCTAGCTCACTGGCAGGCTGAGGCAGGAGGATCACTCAAGGTCAGGAGTTCCAGACCAGCCTGAGCAAGAGCAAGACCTCACCTCTACCAAAAAAACAGAAAGAAATTACTTGGACAGCTAAAGTTATATAAAAAAAAATAGCCAGGCATGGTGGCACATGCCTGTAGTCCCAGCTACTCGGGAGGCTGAGGCAGGAGGATTGCTTGAGCCCAGGAGTTTGAGGTTGCTGTGAGCTAGGCTGACGCCACAGCACTTAACCCGGGCAACAGAGTGAGACTCTGTCTCAAAAAAAAAAAAAAAAAAAAAAAAGACTGAGGAGAATCCTTTAAATAGATGGATACTCAGAGAAAACACTTCTATTTCTAGGGAAAGTTTACAGAGTCAGCTGGGTACTCATCAGTATGCCTGATGAGGCTGCGTTGCCATTTCTGCTTAAGTTTCCAAGGCCAGAATGGGGTGGTTTTCCTCTGGGAGGTGAAGAACGCAGGTGAGAGCTTCCCCTGTGGGAGATCGCCCCCCTGTGCCGACTTGACCAGACCCCGGGGAAAGAAATTTGACCCCACGGAAAGACAGCTCCTTCCCTCCCCTGATCACTGCTTTACTGCAGTTAGCCTGTAGCTCAGGGCTTCTAAATTTAGGTTTACATCAAACCACTAAAAGTAACAACTAACAGAACCCAGGATTCTTTCCTTCTAACTTTTGGGTTCATAAGACTGAAATCCATGAACCTGTACTCACCACTCATATACACTCCTCCCAAGAAATTTTCTTTAATGTGAGTCCTGTTAATATTTAGTTCCAAGTAAAAACAGAAGTGAAGCGTGAGATCACAGAGGAAGTTTGAGTGGACAAACTGTGATATTTTTATTCTAGCTGGATAGCCACAGAAATTGTTATGCATCTTGTATTTGCCATTAAAGTAATGGTAAATAGGCTGAATGACATTTTCTTTAAACATTATATCCTTCAGGACCCAAAAAGAGTGTCAATCTCACGGTGAGACCGGACAAAACAAACGCTAGGTCGCACGTGATAGCCTCCGTTCAAAACGTCTTTAGGGCCAGCCAGCACACATTTTGTCGGATGACAAGGTAGGGCCCCTTCCCTGAGTCACGTGGGGCCCAGCCATGGGGAAGCTGTCAGGCAGGCTTGGCGGTAGGCGGGAAAGGGAAAGACACGGTACTTACAAAAATTTTCCGTTTGTCTTTGATCCTATGAGAACAATCTGCTCAGATTCTTCCCGAGAGATTTTTCCGTGAAACCAGGGCATTTTCTCATGGGCGGTGGTGGCGATCAGCTTCTCCAGCTGCGGCTTCTGGCTGATGATGGCCTGCTCCAGCGCCTGCCCCTGTGCACAGGGCGGGACCACAGCGTGAGCAACGCCAGGGAAAGATGTAAAAGACCAGGAGGTATTTCTAATCTGTCCCAAGCCCTGGCACGGTAGAACAGGATTGAACTTCATTCATTCATTTACTCATTTGTTCAATAAATAAAACTAGGAAGATCCTTATATAGTACTTAAATACCAGCAAGTGTATAAATAAGAAAATCCATTTTAGAATAAAGAGATTGGCCCTTTCAAAGACAGACAAGACTTGAAACCATGTGGGATAACACAGGAGGCCTAGAGATGAGGTTCCTAACCTGGTCCTTCAGGTCACTGTGTCCACTAGACAGACTGTCCTATGTCACAACCTGGTCATTTAATACTGTGGTCCCCAACCCCCAAGTTGTGGCCTGTTATTAATAGGAACAGAGCCCCACATCACCGCCTGAGGTCCGCCTCTGCTCCCCCCGCCTCAGCCGTGGAAAAACTGTCTTCCATGAAACCGGTTCCTGGTGCGAAAAGGTTGAGGACCACTGATTTAATAATAATTTAGAAGCCTCCAGATGTGTCAGTGAAGGCACACGTGTTTTCCTGCCCGCCTCTACAAGGCTTCGCTGGGTACCCACACACACCTGCCTGTACCTTCTGGGAATGTGATCACAGAAAGCAAAGGTGAAAATTCTTGACCATGTGGAAATAACAACGTGCAAATCAAAAACAGGAAATGGGCAGAGAGCTAGGTGAATTGATCGCCTTATTTCTTAGTGGGAGAGAAATAGATACTCTCTACAGACGTTAATGAGTTTGATTATTTGCATTCAGAAAGAGAAGTGGGAGCAAGAACAAAAACATAAGCCACCCAAACCTGGAGGTGGAAGTAGGAGGGAACGTGAGCATAGCGATCGCAACAAGCTTCACAGGCGAAGTGAAAAACAAAAGCAGTGACAGGTCACACACCTCAGAGGGGTCTGAAACAGTGAGCAGAGGGTCCAAAAGTGAAAGGCCGTAGAACACGACTCAGCCACAGCAAGAGCCGGCCACAGACACAGCAACAGCACAGCTGAGTCGCAAGCACGTCAGGCCGCGTGCAGGAGGCTGGTGCAAAGGGCTGGGTGCTGTGAGTTGCTTTGGTTGACATTCAGAAAAGGCACAACTATGGAGACAGAGAGCAGATGAGTGGCTACGCAGCGCTGGCGTCGGGGAGGGTGATGAAGCTCCTGTCCGTCTGTGCTAGGGGCTGTCACAAGGTGCTGTGCACTTGTCAAAATCACAGAGCTGTGCCCTAAACAGGATGAACTGACTGTGTGTGAATTATACCCCAGTGGATCCAATTTATCTGACCTCAAGAGTAAAAGGAAGGTCTAGAACATCTCCAATAAGTGCTCAAGAAAAATACTGGCCACGTAGTATTGTGTGTCTGTCTACAAGGCTAAATTTAATATAGAACATATTATGGGAATAAAAGGAGCCACTGCATATAATCCTCAAAAAGTCAATGCTATCATAAATCTGTATGTACCAAATAACATGGCAAAATGCATACAGCCTGCGTCCAAGAAACACAAGGAGATATGGTTGAACATTTAAGTCCAAGAGTACACTGTCGACCAAACCTGCGGGCTCCTAACACCTGGTGCTGGTAAGAATGCAGCAGGAATGTAAATCATCCCAACCCCTGGAAGCTTTCTGAGTGGTAACTTGTCAATGTATCCAAATCACCCATCCTCTACTGTGGCAAACCTAACTAACCCTTTTAGAGTTTGTCCTGTAGACACTACATACAAGCTTAGCCTATGATGGGTCTAGAGCAACGTAATTAGTAGCTTTATTTCTAAACAGCAGAAGTGTCCATCAGTAGGTACTAGTTAAATAAATTCTGGTGCATAGCAGGCAATCCCAGGCGGCCAAAGAAAAGGTGATACAGCTAATGTAAGTGCTGATACAGAAAGTTCTGCAAGAAATGTCAGGAAGCTATAAAATCAAGTGCGTATAAGTGTGTTACTGTGACTCTGTTAGGGATAAAAGCCTGTCGACACCTATCGATGCCTCCCTGAAAGAGCCCACCATGCGCTGGACAACAGTGGCTCCCTGCAGTGGAGAGACACACGTCGCTGGCACGAAGGGGTCCTAAGAGAGGAGAGGCTGCCTGTGCAGTAAGGCATGTTTGTGCCACGGGTGACGCCTGAGGAGACAGCTGCTTATCTGCACACACAGGGCACCAGTGCATGGTGTCGCCCATAACCAGGAAGTTGTGTGGGGTTACAGGGCCCTCTGGACCCAGGTGGCAGGACCAGCACGGCTCACCTGCAGGTTCCATGTCTGCTTCACGTATTCCCTGATGAGGTTTTCCTTTAGGTCCTCGAAGGGCCCGGTCTTGGGCTGTACCCCGGGGGGCCGGTTGAAGGGCTTCTTGAGGAGGCAGATGAGGCCGTCAGATTCCTGGGAGTGGTAGTGGCAGAGGTCAGCCGGACTGGCGTGGGTCCTGCCGCCGGCGATGGCGTACGTGCCGTTCAGCTCTCGCTCGATGGTGTAGTGGTGCGCCTTCCTCCCGTGGGCCACGGACAGCGCGAAGCCGCCCAGGTAGTTCCGGCTCTGGCGCAGCAGATAGAGCCCGTCGCTCATGCCCCCCTGCACCAGGTAATCTTCCGCCTCCTCCCGGGTGATGTTGCCAAAAAAGAAGGGCAGGTGGTTGGCACTATCAGCCATGGCCCCAGCCATGCTTCAAGGTGAGAGGGCACACACCTGAGCAGGTATCCACCTGTGCAAGACAGAGATGCAGAACTTTGGTGAGGAACCCAAGCAGCCCGGAACGTTTGCTGAAACCAGCCAGACCCTTTCAAACTGGAGACAAATCCTCCCAGCTCAGAACACAAGCTTCTCCTTTTGTGGACTTCCCAACGCATGGTTGGCCTTTCTGCTCACGTAATTATCATAGTTGCCAAATACCACGCCCTCTGAGTATTGAACTTACAAACTCAGCATTTGATGAAAGTGACCAATTTAACTCTTTTTTTTTCAGTGGGGACAAGGAATTCTAAGAAAAAATATACCCCAAAGAGAAGTAAACAGAACTACGCTTGCAAAACAGGACCCTGGAGCTCTCTCTGAGGGTCACAGTGCCACAAAGCTTGAACCAAGTGCTCCTCCTGAGGAAAGAAAGCTCCTTCTCCCTCTGCTGCCAGGGAAGCCATTCCTAAAGGCCTTTCTACCTGAGTTTCAAGGAACCGTTTCGTGTTGTCATACACTGCAGCTGAACCCCAAAGTTGAAGTGAGAGCCACATCTGTAGCCCATGCAAACCTGTGACTTGTCACCACAGGCCTTCACACTTTCGGCCTGAGGTGGTAAGACAGCAGCTGCTGCCTGAGGCATGAAGAGAGACATCCTCCCAGAGTGCCCTGGCCTGGGCCTGGGGCAGGCACTGTGACCCTCCCCGGCCTCGCCAGACCACTTCCTGGGCGGACCCCATTTCCCATCGCCGCTGGCTTAGCGCAAGAGCAGGCTCCACAGCTGAGGAGGGCCTCTGGTACAGCAGAGACACTCCCTGCATTGACCTTCTTGCATTCTTCTGCACATTGCAGGAGAAAAAAAGGAAGGGGGCCAAGAATTTCCGACATAGACAGTGTTTCCTCTCAATCATGGCTGTAAATGAGGGTACATGCTGCCAGTCTGAAAAGCATCTGAAGAGGTGAATATTTTAACCAAAATGGGCTTGTTAGCATTGGAAAATCATCTAGATGATTCCATTCGCTCATCTGTGACACCCTTCACATCCCCTAAACACCCACACCACACACACACCACACATGCACACACACACCACACACACACGCACACACACCACACACGCACACACACACCACACACACCACACCATGCACGCACACACACACCACACACACCACACCACACCATGCATGTACACACACCACACACACCACACCACACACACACCACACACGCACACACACCACACATGCACACACACCACATACACACACATGCACAAACACGCATGCACACACATGCACACGCACCACACACGCACACAGACCACACATCACGCACACATGCACGCACACCCACACATGCACATACACACCATACACGCACGCACAGATGCACACATGCATGCACACCACACGCACACCCACTCCACACACACATGCATACACGCACACCACACACACACATGCGCGCACACACGCACACCACACACGCACACACACATACGCACACACATGCATGCACACCACAGTTATGTTAAACTGCTTCTTCTTAATATGAATTAACCTTCAAGGGGCGGCAAAGCATAAGACTACCGCCCAGATACAGGTAATAGTATTTTCTCTAGACAATATCCTCAAATCAGCATATCTGGGCAAGCCCCAAATAAAGAATGATTTTTGTTAAAATTTAATGGTATAAATGATAATTTTCTTGGTTCTCATAACATTTGCCTATCAATGACTAATTTTTCTTTGTCCAACAAATTTCTAAAACTTCATTTCTCAGCAGGGTTTCTTTCTTTTTTTTTTTTTTTAAAGCACAGACAATATTTGCTCTTGAATCTAAGATTGCTATTAACAAGAAGACATCTCTGGAAAAACGGAGTTGATGTGTCTTTTGGAAGGTATATTTCTCTTCTGATTCCCTTTTTCCTCTTGGCCTAATTTTCTAATGATGCTTGTCTACAGCTGTAGCACCGGCCCACACTGAGGTGCCCAGGCAGTGCCCTGCCCGTGGGCCTCCCTCCCACAGGGAAAGGCCTCTGCCCTGCTGTGGCACTGCACTCTCTCCCTCCCTGCGGGCCTCCTAGGGCCTTAGCTCTCCTTCCACCCTCTCCACCCCCTTGGGACCCTGGGTCGCTGCAGCTCCCGGCCCATGCTGGGCCCTGAACCCTGAGACCGCTCTCCTGCTGCCAGCGCTCCCTGCCCAGGCAGCGCCTGGAAGGAACCCTGAAGTCCTTCCAGAGTCCTTGCGTTCTCTCCAGCGCGTTTTCCAAGCAGCCTTGGTGAGCTCCTTACTGCCCATCCCTCTCCCCAACCCACTTCACCAGGGTCCCATGCACAGCACAGCCTGCGTTCTCTGGTGGGGTCGCGCCCATTGCCTGGGCCATCTTGGCCATCCCTGCAGACTACCCCCAAGGCCATTCTCACCATGCACCTGGCTCTAATGCTCGGCTCCGTCTGTGGGTCCCCAGGTCCCTCCTATGTAGCTGCAAAATAGTAGTCGGCACTATTAGTTCTGACTCAGAGGATAATTTTTTAGGGACAATATTTTAAATAAAATGTTAGCAAATAGTTTTTAATTTATGTAAATCTTAACATTTGTTAATTGTTTGGTTTGTCACTAACATTTCCACTGGTGCTGGTACTGGGGCATGAGTCCCGTACCGCAGTGAATGGCAAGGAGAACAGAGGGGCTCTGACCAGCCCTGGGGGGGCGGGCATCTGCAGACCCCGCAGCCTGCAGGGTCCCTCCTCCAGGCACAAGCCAGCAATCTCTGTGTGGCTTTGAAGGGGCATTGCTGACTCATTGCCAAATAGGTGGCGAAGGACCATGCTGCGCTTCGCGTCAGCATCACTGTGGCTGAGTGTCCCTTTTCTGGCCTTGTGACTTCCTGTGCTGGCGTTGACCTGGGTGCCTCAGTGGTTTGGACAGCAGACCTGGTTCGCTGCAAGGACGGCTTACGGGAACATTCTTGGGCTATTCCACTGGGGAAATAAAGTGTCTGAGGTGCCCGTGCGTGCCTTCTCAGGGCTGGCACCCACCTGGGGCCCTATCCTGGTCTCCAATGTCCTCTTCCCTGGGCTACCTTGACAGGAGACAGTCATCCCAGCCATGTCCACAGTCGCCCAGATGACTGTTCCCAGCTCTGCTTTTTGGGCAACAGCTGTCATTTAGTATGGCAAATCCAGAGAGTTTTACATTTTCGCTCAGCCTTAGTCTCGGCCACAGCTGTGGCATCTCCACGGCCCCTCACCCCAACCCCAGACAGGCACGGAGCCAGCATATGTACGCTGGGCACAGAGCATCCCTGCTGCATGTGCTCGTCCTGCACACCCATGAACCCAGCTGGTTGCTCCTGGCTGCTGCTTTTGCTGACCCACTGCTTAAATCTGACTACGGGAAAGCTCACAGCTCAAACACTCATTAGCACTCACTACGATAATTTTATGCTCAACAGTGTTTAGAACTTGCTCCCTATTTTTTGTTAACTGAATATTCTCAGTCATTTTTCTCCATGTGTGAAACCACTTGTTCAACAGCACAAAACTGAGAGATGAAAAAGGGCTTTGGTCCCCACGACCAGGCCCCTCTCTTCCTCCCCAACTCCATCCGTGCCCCTCAGCCACTGTTTCCCGCACCTCAGTGCACACCTGCACAGGTAGCTTTGCAGCAAGGAGAGTCTTCAGGTGCCAAATGAGCTCCTCAAGACACTGCAAATCCCTTGCTCTTTGGGAGCCTTTTTATAATGCAGGTTAAAAGTGCATTCAGTAGTAGAAGTCTATCTTTCGATACAAAGTAATGTTTTGTAATACCCTGGGCTACATACCACAGCACATGTCCACAGACAACCTCTGACTATCGGGACTTACTGGAGAACTTCAATATCGATCAATCGATCGTTTCACCCCTCCAGGGAGGAGCAGCTCTGGGAGGCGAGTACCACCATGCCTGGAACGTGCTGAGCGCTCACGGTATTTGCTGGCTGGCGGATGTGCACTTCCCTCTGCTGAGCCCCACCTGTGTCAGCTGACCTGAAGTGACCACTTGGGTGTGCGACAGGCAACTTGACCTCCATGTGCCCAGAATGGAGCTTTTGATTCCTCACTCCTCCCCCAACCCCCAGCAAACATATTCCTCCCTCAGTCTCTCCTAATTGGTGAAATGACACCAACTAACACCAGGTGCTCCAGGAGTTTTTCCCTTCACTCTTCCTCAGGGCTAATCCTCCGAGCCAGAAAACAACGTGCTTTGTTCCAGAAGCATCAGTCAGCTATGGGCTGGTGCGGCTCTCTGCCCCTAAGAAGCAGTGAGCTCTTGCAGGGCCAAGCTCCATCCGACACAGCCATAGCACCGTCAGCCAGGACGGAGGAGGTCACACAAGCTGGTCTCCAGGGCTCTCCCGGCAGTTTTCCTCTAGAACATACTCCAGGCTACCGCAGCCCCGCGGCGCAGGGGGAGCGCCCGCCCGTGGAGGCGCCTGCGCCTTCCCCTTCCCTTCCGCCCACACCCGTGTTGTTGGCGGACATCCACCGTGTCGTCTGCCCCCAGCTGCAGGCAGAGTGACACTCGCACGGTGTCCCTTCGTCCACCTCATGTCCCAAGCCGCCTTCCTCTGGCCTCAAGGCTCTCCTGGCCTCAGCCTGCCCCTCGGCCCCACCGTGCTCGCCGGTCCCGCCACGCCACCCTTCTTCTCCCGGCTCCAGGCCTTTCCCGGCCCCGCTGACCCATGCCCGTTGCTCCTCCGCACAGGCTTGAGCCTCAGCCCCGTGTCATCCTCGGAGAGCTGTGTCCTGACGACCCAGTGTCGGCCAGCTGCCTCTGCCCACCCCTGCGCCCACGCACATTTAACCTCACAGAAGTACCTCTGACCTCTCAGCACCATCACAAGCCTGTCCTCCCCCCTAAATGAAGCTCCAAAATCTGGAAACTTTTACCATCTTGCTCGTGCCTGGGGGTTTATCAGATGCTCACAAAATCCTGCTCAACAGAAGCCCACTGCTTTTCTCCTTTTTAGAGTTTCCACAGTG